CATTATTATGTCTTCTCTCTCTCTCTCTCTCTCTCTCTCTCTCTCTCTCTCACTCATATCAAATGAAGGGTAAACAAGGCCTTGGATAGTTTAGAGACGCCCACTTTTAAACAGAGATAAAATTTGCTGATATATTCAGGCACAGCTCACAGCTCACAGGTTTCTTTACAGTTTTTTTCTCCCCCATACCGCTCGAAGAGGATAATGAGCCCCAGTCTCTATCAATTCAGTATAAAGTCTTTCAGGTAGAGTGTTCAGCGATTCTTCCGTCAGGGCCGTTTTGAGACCCATAGCTAGCCTTGATGTTAAACCCAATATCACCGGTTTTATGACGGACTGCGCGGTACTTACCTTTAGCATGCATTATTAGCCCTGTCATAGCGCCAGCCGTGCTACTTGCCCCAATTTCTATCAATTCTCTGTTCTTATTAGTCGCCCCTAGTGCCATGTCCACCGAAATCTCCTCTATATCCACGGCGCCCGCGGTTTCTAGCCATCCCCTCATTTCTCCAGCATACTTCCAACCCGCCCCTGTTGTATCAAAAACAGCCCGCACAAGCTCAAGAAACTCGAGGAAAACAGGTCCCGAGTCGGGAGCAACTTGCTCGGCCTCGACCAACTGGATCCAGCCCCCGGGCTTGACGAGAGCAAACAGGTTTTGAACTGCTTGGGAGAGTGATGCTGGCGCTGCGCCAGGAAGAGACAAGCGTTGATGTACTAGATCGAAAGTGGAGTGCTCTTCCAGAGGCCACGCGTTGGCCATATTGTGTTTGTAGAATTGGTACTGGGGACCGTGAGACTTCGGGAAAAAGCCAGTATTTATATCAGTGCCTATATATCTGTTGCCATGCGAGGTAGCGTGGCTTGTTGCGAGCTCATGTAGCCAATGGCCTTAATACAAGAGGTTATCAGCCTGTAACTTATTAATTACGGAAATTATTAGCACCTACCGTCCGCTGTTGCAGAATCTAAAATTTTGAGGTTAGACTTGCTGAGATCTATGGGAGCCAGAACTAGACTTCCACCTAGAGCTTGAATGACAACAGTATGCTGATCAAGCAATCTTTTACTGGTAGGAACATCAGTAGGAACATGATCCGATGCACTTAAGTGATTCTCGGGAGCTGGAGACATTGAAACAGAGCGGGAGGCACAGTATTGCAGCAGCCTTAGTTTCGAGCCAGGTTTTGTTTTGCAGTTAAGATTTGTGAGTACTCGGAGGCGACAATACGTATCACAAGAAGAATTGATGGCAGATGGCTGTCTTCTAATCTCGGCTTCCTGCTGTCGAATACGGCACCAGAATTGTGGCTGCCTCGGCGACCGATGGAGGAAAATCAGCAGGTACAAAACGGGAAGACAGCAAAACAGCAATACAACAATTACCCCGCTGGACAGATTTCCACCGACAGGAACTCTCAAGCAACCCGCGCCAAGAAATAAGTCCCTATTACATTCATACCTGTACTTTTCAACTTAACGTGCGGCGAAAGTAATTAATTAAGACGTTTCCAGGTCATCTCTTCCGCAAAGATCGATATTCGATCATTTTACAGCCTTGGAAGCAGCATGGGCTCCACTTCAGAGTATATCATGGCGGGCGACGAGGAACTCAGTCGTTTATCAAGCCAGCATGGCGTAATCAAAGATGCCATGGGTGGCTTATTACTTGCGCCCGTCGATTTCTCGGCCAGTCCACTACGTATCCTCGATTCGGCAACCGCAGATGGTGGGTCGTGATTTCTAGAGATGTTACTACTGAATGATGACTGACTAGATCATGATACACGTAGGCAGTTGGATTGGAGATTTCTATTCTATTTACTCTTCCACTCCTCCGCACACCGTCGTAGGCACTGACCTCGATGATACTAAGTTCCCTAAAAACCCATTACCGGGGACAAGCTTCCAGTTGCAGGACATTAATAAGTCGTGGCCGGAAACATGGCAAAATTCCTTCGATCTTGTGCATCAAAGACTGGCTCTCGCAGCAGCCGGGCCAAATGCTCCGTCTGCAGTCAAGAATCTTGTGTCGCTGGTCAAAGTTGGGGGCTGGATTCAGCTTATCGAAGCTGAGAATATACTTTCCGATCGTGAAGGTCCTGTCATGCATGATTTTGTTAACATGATGAAAGACTGTTTCCGTGCGATCGGAACTCCTCTTGGACTGGCCCAAGACCTGCGACTTTGGCTTAAAGACGCGGGGATGGTGGATATTCACGGCATGCTGATAGATGTTCAAATGGGTGCTTCAAATCCAAATCAGACACTCGCAGAGCAAGGAGCGTACTCTACACCTATTGCAGCGGCGTCACTGTCCAATTTTGCCAAAAGTAAGCTTCTATCAGATACCCGCTGTCCCAGGGTATGTTAATAATATCTTCTAGCCCTTCCGCCATCTGCTCTCTCGATTTCTGCAGACAGACTAGACAGTCTTGCGAAGGATTTGAAGGAGGAGCTACTGGAACAAGGTGGTAACTACCCATTGAGGGTCGTGTGGGCTAGAAAGCCAGGGCTGTGAAGCAACATTCAAGATGAAGAAGTCGAGACTTTGGGGGATTACTACAAGCGTCGTGTTGATAAAAGGCAGAGATGCTAATGTTGTGCTCGACCCAGGGTTTGAAACCTGAGCAGCCCTTTTCAGAATAATAAATCCATGTAAAAGTATGAAGCTTCCCCAACACTCTAACGTGATGATTCTTTCATTTAAGCTATATTTAAAATCTCAAAGTAAGATAATCCTTGGAATACATCGTTGTGGTACTTTGCTGGAGGTGTCTCACTGTACCGTGCCTCCGGTCGCTTAATGCCCGTATTTTGGTCCTCGCTCCAAAATCTTCTTGATTGCATCTCGTTCTAACATTCGCTCGGCTCAAGTCTGAATATGCGGCCAGTCTTTAATGTCAACACCAAGAAAGGAAAACATCCATGGCATTGCAAAAGGAAAGTAAGAGATGTCAGCCAGCGTCGGGCGATCGGGAAGTGCTATGTAGTTCTGGGTTTCCGGTGCTAGCCGTTTATTTAGAACATCCCATTGAACGATGCAATTAGCATGTAATCTAACACAGTATTAGAAAACCAAGTGTTATAGTTAAAGAAGAGTGGATGCACCTACTTCGCCACAGTCCTAGGGAGAGGCTCTGGATTCTGACGATTGGGGTAGCCTTTAAGGAAATATAGCCAGTATTTAGCCGTGGCACTATGAAGTCACTGATCAGTCAAAGTGCTTCTTTTAAGATGGTGCCTATCAGTTTAACTTACCCTAGCCCTGCAGTTTGATAAGCAGTCTAAGAGAGAACTGCAGCCTTTTCGGTGGCAGTACGTCCCCGCCAAAGCCCCTCGGTATCAAATCTACGCTAAATACTGAAGACATGCCGTCCCCTCAAAAACGACAGCCTCTTCTCCCGTTTCTGGATCTTGATTTCTCAAAGCTGGTACGTAGCGTTCTGGGTGGATTTTATAGAACCACTATAGAGAATTAGTACCAAGTTTCTACCAAAACCAAATACAAGATAGGGAAAGAGACGAGGGCCGGAAGCCCACATTGCAGCAGGACGAAGCAAGGGAATCCTACTGACTTCTTGAGTGGTATCCACAACCAAGATCACATGCGGGAATTGAAGCTCCTCAGCAAGAATCAGGGGCTTGAAATAATTAATGTATGAAGTTTGGTCGGCTTGCATGTTCGCAGCAAGTCAGCGACGCTTCGATTTGAACGTGAGGTATCCATCCTTTGATGATATATAGAATTACTCGGCCGTCATATTGGAGGTCTCCTGTTATCACTTCCCCATTGGCCTTCTTCGACTGCGTTGCCACTTGCTCGGTGTTACTTGGAGTATCCATTTGTGGAATAACAGATCCGTTGAAAAGTTATAACTTTGGAATTGACTACTATTCCGAAATTGAGTATCAGTTGAGGACATTGCCAAATATCGGAACATTTAACGTTGCCTCATTCGTCGGCTACCAGCTCTGTGCGGGCCCTTCCACACCAGCGGTTGCCGATGAACATTATATGCACGAAATCTTCTAATTAGCCACTGTTTTGTGGAGTCGTACACATAGCTCTATCGGTCAATGACATTGGCATTGGTAGCTATCGGGTCATGACTTATGAACTTGTTTTGGTGAGTAATCAATCGAATTTGTGTATACGAATGATGCAACCGTAGATCACTGTATGCTTTCGGTCAGGGAACGTTTCTAATGCCTTTTCTAGTCATAAGAACTTGACTAAAACATCTTAATACTATACGAACCTACCAAATGCTCACCAGGGACGCTCAGACTGACGAACACAATGAGTACCGATCACATGCCCCCAAACGAGACAACAACATTGCTCGAGGAACAAGACAAAGATGATGAAGACGTTGATTTGATGGAATGCATCACCCACTTCTGATGCAAGAATTTCAAACGCAATATCGGTTCTTCCGATTGCTTTTCTCGCGGCGTTGGGAATGGCAGCAACTGCTGCGACTAGCATTTTTGCATACGGTCACTTAATTTGTAAGGACCCAACGCATTGTCAAAAATCAGAGCAGAACAGATACGGCGGATCAGTGGCATTAGCTGTTTCTATCGCGAATTTCTGCGGCTTGCTAGTGCTCAGATCACTCGAGAGATTGTCGAAAAACCACCGGAAGACAGGTTTGGCATTATGGATAATCTTTTGGCTCTGGGGTTGGCAACACCGTCTTTCATCAAATCCCATTTTCTCGGATTTTTCTCACAAGACGACGCCGCCAAAGCAATGGGTAAGTGCATTTAATCCAGCCCAAGACCACTGCTCCTAGAGCTGAGATATATCCAATCCAAAAGCACACTCCAATTGTCAATCTTTTTCGCTTACTCCCGACTCATCCTCGCTCATTCTTAATAGAATAATGCTAATTCGAACATTTGACGTTTAGGAGCCATGACCATGATGGAAACCTGTGGGGGACTTTTGTCTCCCTTGATTCTAGGTTTCTGGCAAGCAATTTCCCCAGGAGGAAAGGTTTTCTATGGAGCCGCTGGGATGATGGTGTGCGCAACCGGTCTTTTTTGCGCCGCAGCTTTACTACTTCACAGGCGATCAACTGTATAAAGCAGCCAACGAAGTTCTTCTCACTGAAGTAATTCTTATCCATTGCTTTATATATATCAGTAGACATCTTCATACATTCTTTGTCTTAAATTCCGAAAATATTGTCCCACCGGGCCGACGGGCCCCGAGAGGTAGAGACTTGTATTTATATAGGAGACTGAAACCCAAAAATGAATGAATCCTTCCAAATTTAGCTCCAACACGTTCTAAGCCACCATTTGCCTTCAACTGAAACTTTGAATAGTGTTGATACTTCGTTCACAAAATCGCTTTCTGACCTTGCCTCACTCTCCAAAATTCTCGGATCACACCTGCAGTTGTTCAACTCACACCGATGTCTGACCCGCTTGACGTTCTCATAATTGGCGGTGGACCTGCGGGGCTTACTGCGGCGCTCACCCTAGCTCGTCAGCTACATACCGTTGCTGTCTTTGATTGTGGAACTTATCGAAACGATGCCGCCAAATATCAACACATGGTTCTGACGTGGGATCATAAAGAACCATCTGCGTTCCGTTCGGCTGCACGGGAAAATATACTGGGCCAGTATGAGACTGTGAAAGTCTATCCCACCACTATAGATACTGTCAAGAGTCTTGAAAATGGTCTCTTCGAGGCTGTTGACAGTAATAGCAAAGCTTGGGTTGGGAGAAAACTTGTACTAGCGTCTGGCGTTGAAGACATCATGCCCAACATTGAAGGGTTCCAACAATGCTGGGGTAGTGGAATGTGTGACCCCTCTCAAATGAAGTTTAGGTGTTGCTAAAGTTAATTACTCTTTAGTTTCCATTGCTTCTTTTGCAAAGGCTTCGAAGAGAGGGGCTCTGAGTCTTCGGGTCTCATTGCTACTGATGCACTTGCCTCCGTACCGCATGCCATGCACGCAGGGCGTCATGCTCTTCAACTGTGTACATCCGTCACTTTCTACACCAACGGCTCGGAGGACTTAACAAGAGAATTTGAGAATGCCCTCACAAATACTCCTGAAATGAACGTTGACTCTCGACGCATTAAGAAATTGGTCAAGGGCCCTAATGGGGCAGAAGTCATTGTTTGTTTCGAGGATGGCACTGAAAAGATAGAGGGGTTTTTAGGAGCTGCTCCAAAAATGAAGCAAAGAGCGCCATTTGCGGACCAACTTGCCTTGGAATTAAACCCGGGTGGGGAGATTACAACGAAACTACCATTCATGCAAACCAGCATGAGAGGCGTTTTTGCTGCAGGGGATTGTGGGAGTGCTATGAAAATAGCTGCAAATGCATTATCAACCGGCGCTGCGGTGGGAGCAGGAGTTTCCGCTCAGATACTAGCAGAGAAATTCGATCATAAGCCTCTTTTCTAAACCTAGGTTAGTTAGTCAAATTCTTCAAGCCTTGAGGCATATAGTGATATATAGATGCATACAAGGCCGGATATCATTTAAAAGGTTCTTGTTCCGAGATCAATGCCGAATTCATCTGTCGTGCGTGTTTTCCAATAATCCAATTACTGTTTGGAGGACCTATATAAGAGTTCTTTTTTAATTTCAACAATATTTGCTATACATACATATGACCACGTGAACCGTTAAGAATATTGTGTCGGAAAGGTTGAAAACTATATGTTCATTCGTCAGCCCTTTCAGATTTGGCTGACCCTAACGCAGTGGCACCAAATATGATGACCAATCTATCGACTGAACAAATGGATACACTTGGGGATAGGCTCTTGGACGAGCTAGTACACCGAGGGGCTTACTATCGTATCAGATGCGTTTGGGGCAGAAAGAAAGTTGAGGATGTGGCATAGAGCATTGTATTGTGACCGTATCGCAGTCTCGTGCCGCCCCTACCACAGAGGCTGGAACTAAAAAGAATGGCTGGTCCCGATTATGCTACCTATACTAGAACAAGTAAAGTACTATATTAACATTGGCTCGCAACTCTACTGCAGAGTATCGCATCAATTGCCAACAGCCACTTCCGATACCCATTGCGCGCCTACAGGAGACCACATCTTGGCTTATGCGCTAGACTTGTGGACGATAGCAATCTGGGCGATGGTCTCAAGGGTGATCTTGCCATCTACGTCCACGTTGAATCCAGGCTTCTTTGCCAGAAGCTCTTGATACTCGGCCACTGCAACGTCCCATTTCTCCTCATCCTCTGTAGATCATCCGCCTGCAGGCTGACCAATTGCACTCCAGATGGCAGTGGCGAACTCATGTAAGTCTTGAACGTGCAGGAAAGCCGACTTCTCGTACAGTTGCACATCCTCAAGCTGCAGCAACAGGGTCCTGCAGAATAGGCAGCCCGAACGACAAGAAGACGTGGGAGAATGTAGAGTCGGGGAATGTTTCCTTCCTGTCGCGATATTATTGTAGATTCCAACCATGGGCGGTGCCAAATCTGTGGCTTCAATCTTCACCGTGTCGGGAGGTGATGTGGCAATAATGCTGTGTCACTGGTCCCAGGCCACATGCGGTGTCGTGAATGACTGCGTCGGGAGGGGAAGGGGGGAGCAGAGTCATCGGCGCCGCTAATCTCGAAGAGTGGAGCTGCTGGGGGCGGCCATGTTGGTAATTTGTGGAGGAGAAGGAGAGATGGGAGGAGAAGGGATTCGGATGGGTGGGAACAGGAGGGGGATGCGATGTGTTGGTGATGTGGAGGAGTTGGTGATGTGATGTGTTGCTGTAATGCAGACGAGGTAGAGTTGCCTTGTGGTGGGAAATGGAGGGTGGTAATGTGATACAGACGAGGTAGATACCTCGTAATTACCACTTGACAGCTCGGTGGCCGGCGTGCATCGGATAAATAGAATCTTTCCCCCCTCAAAGTTTGTCTGCCTACCTGCCTCTGCCTCAAGACGAGGCTGTGAAGAGCGCACCTGAATATGTGTTGTGTGACCAACTGCTGCAAACTTACCGTACTAGCTAGTACTAGGTCGTATGCTTAGCTAAGTCGGAGTGCCTGCATATGTTATATGACCAATTGCTGCAAACTGATAGATAGTAAGACTTACCTGTGGGTGGCTTGCCCAACTGCCGCTAATTGTTAGTACTGTGCTTACGTCAGTCCGAGTGCCTGCATATGTTGTGTAACCAACTGCCAAGGCAAACTGATAGGTAGGTGAGGTGGGTTGGTACGTGCTTACGTCAGTCGGACCCCTGGCCGTGCAGTGCGGTGCGCCACCCCGAGTAGTGCAGTTAGTTATACTGAGTAGACGAATCTAGCCTAACGTAAGAAAGGTGCGGCTCAAAAGTTACAGTACACCAAGAAATACGAGTTGCTGCCTTGGATTCTGGGTGCCGCTTTTTCTTTAATAAATCTACAAACTCTACACTATCAGACCCGAAGCTAGTCCAAGGCTCTGATTGGGTGTTGGCTGTTCTGCGACACTAAGTAGGGCTTTTTGATTTGGGCGCCAATTACTGGGGAGACTTAAACACTTTGTTTATGCTACTTATTCGAAACCGCTGTAACTCTATTTGGTTCGTGCGAATCAAAGACCAAGCCCTTGGAATCGGAGTTCCAGGTCGAGAAAACAATCCCCACGTGCTTTGTGCTGCACCGAGCTTGAGCCGATGCTAGCCAACATCTTCAATTTCCCCAGGACCTCGGTCGCGTGCTGGACCTCCTTGAGTATCGTATGAGTCCGGAATGCGCACTGCTCTTCGGTATCAAAGGGCGATTCCCCAAACCCAAGACCCGCAAACCCTCCTGTCAAGACTCGATTGTTTCGGCTGTCTTTCTCCTCCCTCGCGACGGTGGTTAAGCAAACCTCCACTAACTCGAGGATCTGGTACATGAGGGTGGTGAACAACATGATGCATCGAAGATTCCTCGAGCCTTGTTGAAGCCCGATGAGGTGCGTCAGTTTCTCCAGAGCTTTCCTGATGATTCCGAGGAGGATTTTGAATGCTTTGAGCTCGGCCATGATGTAACTCTCCACGTCGTTGATCATGTGACAGCACTCCAGGCAGCACTGGCTATCTACATCGTTCCGTGGCCGTAGCCCAAGCAACATAGGCATTGATGGTACAGACGAGCTGTCCGTACGCTGCTCAATAGGGGCGGGGATGGGGGACGAAAAGGTTAATAAATCTTCCAGATTCCCATCCATTCCCTGTAGAAAATACTCGTCGGAACTATGCAGCGTTCCCCCGGGAGAGGGAGAAGGATTGAAGGGCGCTTGAGCAGTACTGTGTGTAGCGACATATAGGTTAGAAGAATCGTCTGCAAAGTCTGTTCCGATGGCGTCGGAGGGTTCGAGTTGCCAGTCGTCTGCCCATTCCATCATCTCGGTCTGGTCATTTTCTGGGTATGTTACGTCCTCCACGGTTGAGTCCTCTGATCGACTGGTTGCGTTCACTGATTGACCTGTGGTAGAGCCTTCTCTCCTTTGTGTCTCTTGTGATCCCTCATGTTGAACACGCTTCCTCTTCGCTCTTATGCCTGGAACCTTGCCCACCCTCGACTCCATGTAAACACAATGCGCACCTGAGTTTCGGCATCGCTCGCAACCACTCCCCTCGCCTGTGCATTTGACCTATTGTCTCTTGTTAGATATGTGTTCCTTCATCTTGGGCAGAATAAGATTGGATGTACAAACTTTGGCGGCGCAACATTGGTTGCAGGCACTGCGAAGCCGGACTTGACGCGCGCGACCTGCCGCCTGGCCTTCTGTGCTGTGTAGCAAATCAGCAAAGGAATACTAGAATACAACTCATTTGGTTCTCAACAAACCTTCGAGGCGAAAGCATGATGCTAACAAAAGAGATACGATTAATACTAACAGAGAGCAAGATGACTAGCTTCGAGCCTATCAATCGTCACTCATCCAGGCCTGGTTCAAGTTGCGTTCTGGAAAGACTTGTAATGGACGCACTGTTAATATAAAAACCAGCGGGGACATTTGGGAAAATCGTTAGACCGCCCACATACATGCTGCAGACGCTGAAGGGGCAGGTGTGGAATTATGCATGCATGATGAACCTTTTAGCCACTGCAAACAGCCCAGTATATGTAAAATTGAGTAGCATTCGCTCTTGATTGGGACGAAAAGGATTGGAGGGGTGGGGGGTGGGGTGTGCAGTACGAGTCGCACAATGTGTCAGCAATCTATGCTGGACAATGATTTTTCGATGAACTTTATTTCCAAAATAGAACCCGTTCACGGGGGACTCCATGGTCTAATAGCACCCTCTGTCTGTTTTCTCCACATTCGTGCGTATAGCCCATTGCGGGCAAGGAGACCGACATGCGTTCCCTTCTCCATGATTCGACCTTTCTGAAGCACGATGATCTGGTTAGCCTTCGTAATGGTTGATAGTCGATGTCTGTCTCGCGATCAGCAATTTACTATTAGCCTATTCCCCAGAGGCGCAGCGTCTGAAACCATTGGGGGGTACTTAGTGACTTACGCAATCGTAATTGTTGTCCTACCCTCCGAGACCTTTTCTAGCGAGCCTTGGATCTGCTTCTCGGTTTCGGAATCGAGCGATGCTGTAGCCTCGTCAAGTAGGAGAATCCGAGGCGATCGAAGGAAGGCACGGGCGATGGCAATCTGCAAGTACTATTAATATAAGCCACACCATGAGCAGAAAATACCGGCACTGTACCCTTTGCCTTTCGCCTCCAGACAATTTGAGACCTCTCTCTCCAACGGTGGTCGAGTACTGGTCTGAAAAGCTGAGTATCTGGTGATGAATACTGGCCGCCATGCAGGCTTTATACACATCCTCTTCGGAAGCGTTCGGCTGAGAATACAAGAGATTATACATCAGAGTATCATTGAACAAAATCGTGTCCTGTGGAACCACACCCATGTGGCTGCGCAAACTTTCGATCCGCATCTCGCGTGTGTCCAGACCATCCAACTTGATAGAGCCATCACTAATGTCATAGAAACGGAAAAGAAGTTTCAGAATAGTTGATTTTCCACTCCCACTCTCGCCGACGATTGCCGTTGAGGTGCCAGGTAGGACTTCGAACGACACATTCTGCAGGGCTGGGTGCTGGCCATTATAAGCGAAAGACACATTCGAAAATGATATCCCGCCGTTGCATTTGCTCACATCCACAGCGTCTTCACTATCAACGACCGTGGGTTTCTGTTCGAACTAGTTATCGTTAGCACATGAAAACGAGTGGTATTGCGAAGTGGGATCACACCAATTCCAGCATGCGTTCCGCATCAACCAAGTTATTCTGAACCTGAGTATAAAAACTACCAAAAAAGTTCAAAGGAGCTTGAAGTTGTGCGAGATAGGTAAGTAGAGTCACAAACATTGCCACTTGCTGCATGTTCATCGATATTTGGTAGGCATTCAAGTAACAGACCAGTAGAGTTCCGAGCGTGAATACGCCATTTTGAGCCGCGTTGAGAAGGTTCAGCGACAAGAAAACATTGTACTCGGACTTTTGAAAAAAAGAAATAAGTTCCGCGTATCTAGATATTTCCACTGTAATAGTAAGTTTTAGCAACTGGTAGTCTGAGAAGGGAACCAAGTTCAGCCGTGTAACCACAGGCGTGAGAGGAATGAAGCGATTATGAAAGTGCTTACTAGTAACAGCACCGCTATGATGCACGGTTTCGTAAGATAAGAGAGCATCGGTCCTGATCTATTAGTATCTTACTGACTACTTCTGATCTCGTGTCACACTGACTTGGCAGCCTCCATCTCCCGTTCTCGCTTAACCATCTCCCTCCGAGCGCGACCACGGTACTTGGCCATATAAATAGTCATGAAGATATAAAACCATGTGACAGCTATAACCATCAGAGCATAGAAGGGATCAAACACAATAAAGAAGTAAGCCGCTGCTATCCAAAGGTCTGCAACCATGGGAAATAGCTGGAATGCAAACCCATCGAGAAAAGTATTCAAGGCACCTCCTTTACTCAACGCATTTGTCACCTCACCAATGCGTTTGCTAATATGAAAATCGAGAGAGAGTTCCAAAACATGCTTAAAAGTAGCAGTACTGAGGCGTCGGTAGGTCGATTGACTGATGGGAATCCAGAGGAGGGCCCGAATGGACCCTAAAATGCCTTGTTGCCCTTGAAAACCGCGGAAGAGAATATATAAAAAAATCTGTTTATGTGGAAGTTTTCCAGGCCCCAAAGTAGTGACTAAAACTCCGAGCTGATGAGGGGTCAGTATATTGACAACACGCTGGGCTATCAGCAGGACGAAACAAAATATTGCTCGCAGTTGGAGCGGTTTAGATTCGGCAGGCCTATTCTCAGTTAACAAGAATCTTCCAAGTTGAGAAACAGCTAATAAACACTTACCAGAGAAACGGAAACAGTTTACTGAATCCAAGGACGTAATCTAACCACGTGGTAGTCTGAGCATCACCCACTCTGGCATTATACGCGTTGTTCCCATCACGGGCCTTGGAAGTTCCGTAGCTGTAATCGGTTCCAGGGCCATGGTCAAGCAAGCTCTCGTTTTCACCGGACTGTGTTGAGCTATGAGACTTTTCCTCGTGTGATGTTACCAACCACAGAACTATCAAACAGAGGAGAACAATCAGTCGCACAGCTGCAAGTGCTAACTGGGCAGCATTCGCGTATCGGTTCTCAAGCTGATTTTGTATACCGTATAACAACCATGCCGACTCGTACATGACACTTATTAACCACATGTGGTACTGGACCTCAGATACCGTATATGGAAAATCGGGATCAGGTAGTAGCCCAGCGAGATAGAACAGCCCTACACCTATCATAGAGGACTGCCTCTGGGTTAACTTCTAGTTCTGCCACCGATATTGCGCGAACTTACAAGGTAGTCTTTGGATATCCATTCGTTAGTGTGACTGGAAATCCTAATCACACATAGTCCGACGACGACTGTCCCAGTCTTTCGAGCACAATCGTGAACATTTGCAGTAAGATGAAGTTAGGATGGGAGCACTTACTATTGAACAGCAGAGAAAAGCGTGCATGAGAAAGAAACATCTATTTGCCATGGAGCTTTTCGGACGAGGACACGCCGAAGTCGTACGTTTGGACCGAATTCCATGGTAGATACAAGACGCAAGGTATCCAACGAGCAAGGAAATAGGATATGCCCAGAAAAGCATTTTAATGTCTGTATGAGATCTAGGTTGGAGGAGTCGACGTGGAAAAGAAAAGTCGTTGCCGTAGACCGTTACGTGGAACCCGTCAGATTGGCATGAGAAGACTTCGTCGGTAAAGCCCGAATGAAATACATCATGACCCATTAAATTAAAGGGGCATCTGCCATTTCTGAGAGTCAGTGTTCAAAGGCCCCAATTTCTAGGTCGGCCGCCGAGTCGGCCCCGTAGATCGGGCCCCTTAAAATCCCGGATAATTCAGGCCGCTCTCCTATTTATATTGCTTGCTTAACATTACCCTGTATACCTGTATTTTATATCATTCAAATTTATTTCTAGTATCTGTATTATTTTGGATACCCCGTGTTCAGTGGCCTGGACCAATGGAGGCGTATGGGCTTTCACGGCGTGGTGCTGCAAATGTCGAGGCCATTTGGCCGCGAATCAGTACTGCTGCCACTGAAAGGGAGCGGGCAACGGAAGATTCTTACATTGACGTGTCGACTTCTGAAAATTGGCTCATCCGAGAAGAGCTCATCGAACTCTACAAGAAGGCTGTGGATGATAATCTGAGCGGCCGAGTATGCACTATCAATCTTATTAGTTCTCGCTTCGCAATTGTTTGCTAACCAGCTGAAAGCACCTCTCGTACCCGAATGGGTTTGCAGGGGATACAGAACTATTGGATGCGTTGGCACAGTTTTTCAATTCCTACTTCAAGCCTTACATCCACGTGCTGCCCGGACAGCTTGCAACTGCCCCAGGCGCTGCGTTTTCTCTCGACGCTCTCCTATACAATATTTGTGAAGTAGGGGATGGCATACTAGTACCCACTCCATGTTGGAGTAAGTAATTCAAAATACCTCTCCCAGAAGCTCCAATCGAATCTAGCTGATTTGCACTCTGCAGGTGGCTTCGACTGGTTACTGAATGTCAAGGCCGGTGTACAGCCTGTTTTTGTCACAGTAGAAACTTTTGATGATGTATTGACCTCAAAACTAATCCCGGCTTTGGAAAATACCCTCACTAGCTCCCCTTATCCTATCAAAGGCTTGCTATTCACAAACCCCCATAACCCCTTCGGTCAGTGTTATCCATCTGCGGTCATCATGGAAGTCATAAAATTCTGTAATGCCAAAGGCATCCATTTCATTTCCGACGAGATATACGCTCTGTCGAAATTTGAATGTCCAGATGTACCAGAGCCAGTGCCATTTACATCAGCATTGCAGCTCGATATTGAGGGCATGGGATGTAATCTTTCGCGTGTACACACGATTTGGAGCCTGAGCAAAGATCTAGGCTCAAGTGGTCTACGAATGGTAATAAAGCCACTCCTTCTCTGCCTTCCCCACGGGTCTCTTTTAAATAGGCTTGCTAACCAGTAATTAGGGGTGCTGTGTTACACAGGGGAACAGGCCTTTGGTAACGGGCTTAGCCTTGGTTTCCAACACACAAATGTCGTCTCTCACAGCAATTGCTGCTACGAGCCTCCTTAGATCAACTCAACTCCCAAGCCTTTTAGTGCTTAACTCTGAGCGCCTTGCACAATCTTATGAGCGCTTAACCTCGGTGTTGAGAGAACGAGGTGTTTCGTATATCCCTTCGAACATGGGACCCTTTGTCTTTGCAAGGATATCACCAACAGCACAGTCATGGGCTGAGGAGGTTGAAGCGATGCGAGTTTTCAAAACGGCAGGGGTAGTAATTTCGGCGGGCCGGGGTTATCATGTGGTTGATGGAGAAAAAGGTTGGGCCAGAATCAACTTTGCTATGCCGCCTAAAATCTTGACCAAAGCTCTCAAACGGCTTATTATTGGATTCGATGGACTGTCCATGAATAGAGAAGCAGAGTCTACCCAGAAGTGATCATATAAAATTATACCTATATTATAGTTACCTTCTCACAAGCAGACTCCCAATTAAACACAACATAGAAACACCAACCAAAGAGGATGCAACTATGAATTCCCGTCCTTGGCCTAGAACGCTTTGTGTGATACCCAAGGCTATAGGGGAAAGTAGTCCGCCCACGCTCTCCGACACCGCTATGCTCGCCATCACCGAATCTCTTGCACGCGTTCCCGTAACTGCGTAACTCTTCATAAAGCTAGGCGCTGCTAGCCCCAGCGCAATCAGCACCACCAGGCCATACATCTCCCTCGCTGTTCCCGCGATCGCGAAACATGGAAGGAAAATGAGTTGGATTGACATGGAGACAAGCGCATAAAACAGATCTCGAGTAAAATGATATTTTACCCTTCCAGATTCAGCAATATTTGTTTCGCATCCAGATAGACCGTTCCCCTGGACCTCCTCAACTTCGGCTGGGCTGAACTTCTTCCGTATTTGCGGAATTGCATAGAGCACAATAAAAAGGTAAATAGAAGATGTACCAGCGGCTAATGAGATGATGTAGCCATTTTCTGTACTGGTGAAGCCGAACTTTACTGCGGCATGAACCATGATCGCAGGAAACAGGTGAGCTTGGGCACTGTTGTAGAAAAGAGTGGCAAGACTCGGAAACAGGACAATGGGCTCCCTATAAATATACAAAACAGGCTCGAAGAAAGAAATGCTGGCTACAGCCGCATTCGCCGTAGTCGGTTCGAGGGGCTCATCGTGACCAGTTTCCATGTTAGAGGTCGTGACCGGAACGAAAAACTCAAGATACAAATATGAAAAGCCCAGTAGTGCGATAGCAACAATGAAACTGAGAAAAAAGTTAGGCAATAAAGTGACTACTGTAGGACCCATAGACATGCCGACCATGTAAAGAGCCAATGACGTTCCCATCAATCGTGAAAATCGACCTTGGTCCTGGGCTCGAATGTATACAGCCGCGAGAATATAGTGAAGAATGTTATCAGTTGCCAATCCTTCGAAGACCCGGCCTGCGATGGCAATGTATATATTATGCGATAGCACTGAACGAATGGTTTTAGCTTTTTCCAGGTTAAAAAAAGAATAAGTGCTCCTACTTCCAACTGCTAAAAACCCTACACCCATAGACCGGCTTATCAACCAATAGCGCATTCCAAGCTTTGGGTGGGTTTCCGTCCACTGTCGCAAGGCGCCAATGGCAATGACGCCAAAGATATTGGCTATTATGGTGGCTAAAGCCACTACTCCAGCATAGCGAGATTGCTCCTCATTTTCGCAGTGGGCCGGCTTCACACATATGATGCTCGCGTCTTCACAGTTCAAATATGTTAGCTCATCGTCACTCTTGTGTTCTGGAGTGGAACGCCAACACTTTGAACGTCGCTGTAGCGGACATGAAAACACGAGTTCTGCTGGTCACATACAAGTATATGTGGTGGTCGCAGACGTTGCTGCTATAGCAAATGCTGCGGTGAAAGCCAAAGGTAGGACATTACCAACGGACCCTTCGTCAATGACCATGTGCAGTGCTCGTGCGTTAGTCGAGCTTTTGGGTACCGCGTTGTTATAACGAATGCTAATATTTGCGTCCCCATCCTCAAGTGCAACAGAGAGGAGACCAGTTCTTTCTGAGTAGTCTGTGGTATCCATGATGACTAAAACTGCGAATGTATTATCATGTCGCCGAGCAATTTGTAGAAATGCAGATTGTTGAGACAATGGGCTGTGGCAAGTCCCCTCTATGCACGAGTCGCTTTCCTTAGGTTATGGTTTCATCTGATTGGACGCACTGCATATGTATTCCGCTCACTACGATTAGTCGTAACCGGGTAGCGAAGCAAGATCTTAGATCATTTGGCGCTACTGGAGTATGATAAATGGCCCTGCCGTTTCGGACGCCGAATAGATTGTTTCGCTCTGGAGGTTTAAGTATTGTACCGCCTCGAGTCGCCGCGGCTCAATCTTGTGATGTAGACAATACTCACGATTGGGTATTCTTTCGGAACTCAAAGACAACTCACTATCAGTTCTGTTGCTATGGCTATTGTGGAAAGTCAAATGTCTTTTCTGGAGCCCTGGGATGCCAAGGAGGAAGGGCCATATGTCCGTGGAAAAGTTGAAGAGGCCTTTCCTCGAACAAACTTCACAAATCGAGAGTATTCGGTACGAGTTCATAATTCAAGGCCGAGGAGGGATGAGTTCAATCTAGACACTCATGGCTTTGCCTTCCATGACGATGAACTCATCAGCGACGAAATTGTCCAGGCAATTCGATCAAAAGACAAGCCATTAGTCCAAGAACTATATTATCCACTAGTGGAGCGCTTGGTAAAGGAGAAGACCTGTGCTGATAAGGTCATCATCTTTGATCATACTCATCGAAGACGCGATCCATCTCTCGCTCCGAACGAGAATCCCAATGGTAGAGAGCAGCCAGCCACACTGGTAAGTGATGACTACAAGACTATCTAAAGCATGAATAACCAAAACTTCAAAAATCAGGCACATGTTGACCAGTACGTACTATTCATTCGCATACACTAATCGGTGTCTGCGTACGAGGAATACTCACCCAATCTCCTTGACATATACAGATCCGCCCTCGGTGCAATTCGCAGAGTTCGGCAATATACAGGAGAAGACGCCGAAAGTCTGCTCCGAGGAAGAGCACAGATCATAAAGTGAGCCTCTTGACAGTAGTCCCGTGATGTTTTTGACTTGCGGCTGACCGAACAAGTGTCTGGCGTCCTATCCATGGCCCTGTTAGAGATTGGGCCCTGGCGGTAATGGACTATCGCAGTATTAAGGACTCCGAGATCCATCCCACGAGCATTTTTAGTGAGCGGTTTGAAATGAAGGGACAGACTGTGTCAATAAACCACTCCAAAGACCAGAAGTGGTATTACTTGGATCAACAGAAACCAAGCGAAGTTACTTTTATCAAAATCTGGGATAATAAGAAAGGAGTGGCGAAACGTAAGAGCTCCAAAGTTAATGACTGCATCAAAGGAAATGTACTGATTGATTGTTCAGTGTGCTCCCATTGCGCTTTCCCAGATCCTCGGGCACCAGCCGACGCCCAACCAAGAGAAAGTGTGGAGGTCCGCTGTCTGGTATTCCATCAGGAGGACCAATGAACGATAGTGAGAAAGGCTTTTGTATAAATAAACGACATAAAACATGACTGAAAGACATGAAAGAAAACCAAAAAAGAATAGAGAGAGAGAAGGCGAAAAGCTCAGTTTGGAAAAACTCTTATTTCAGTTCACTATATGTGATTTGCATGATAAGTAACCGTATTTCTGTCGAAGCACGGCGAAATATCAGGTTATATAAAAACATCCAATTAGCTATAAGAACACCTTCTGATAATTCCAGCAATATGAGATTCGTATGGTCAAAGCAAGCAAGTATCCATCCCATCTCCACTTCCCCAAATTGGCGCATGAACAAAGTCGTGATGAAACCACATGGCGAAAACAACAGCCCTGACTAAAGTGATGACCCACATAGGAGCATTTCCCGTCCGACTATTCTTCAAGCTTGCTTTCGTTATCTTTTCCATCACTGACATGACTGGAACCCAGAAAGCAAGAAATAATGTTGCGCCTAGTTTCTGGGTCTTGTTGCTTGGAGTTTGATATACTGGTATAGTTCCCAAGAACTTTCGATATGAGATGGGAAATTCAGATTCATCAGCTCCTGCTTGGATAAGGTTCTACGAAATCAGGCGTTAAAAGTGCTAAAGGTGAATACATAAATATAGTAACATACCATGTAGCGGACACTTGGCCTGGCTACCCTTTTGAGAACCGTGACTAGAGATCTAGTCGCAAAAGTGGCAGCCTGAGCCCCTGATTTCTCTTTACCATCCTCTACCAGCAACTCCGCCCTGACTTCCACTTCCGCATATGCAATTCCTCCACCCTCTGATGCAAGTACCTTTTTGTACATCTCAGGCGTAAGCTCATAAGCTGTTCCAATCAACTGAACGCTCTTCTCATGCTTGATATGGTGGACTGGTGAAATGCTTGCAAAGCTCGGTTCGGAATAGGGAACTCCCGCACTGTTCATCACCAAAGTCCAGCCAGGAACAGCCACCACAGCCGTGGAAATAGGTACAATACCGCGGTCATGAACAAACTTTGACGTGCTCAGATTTGAGCCGTATGCGAGATACCATGTGTTTGATTTGGGTGGTGGCAGAGTCTGGACAACAAGCATGTTGTGCGAAAGTGACAATAGGGGCTGATGAGAGAAAAAGGTCAATCGGAGTTGCTTTGAAAATACCTATATTACCCCTGAAATGGTTTCAAACTTGGCGGAAGTGATAGTCAGCTTTCGGTATTATGCGGAGGGTCACTAAGTGATGTCGGGACCCGATTAAACAGATTAGGTAATAACCAGTGTATTATCTAGGTACTTCCTAGCAGTCAGGTGTAAAGACTACTTTTGATTCAAAATATTTCTGATAACAGGGTTGAAAATCGCCGCGACATGTCGCCATTCTCGTCGTCGACCCCCTGGCTTGGCGCCATGCGAAATATGTTGTCGCGTGCATTCAATTTCGCCTTCCATACTATTTCCAACATCCTAAGGCTTCCAATATACACGGAAGAAGCTCGATTAAAGGTAATTCGGAATACCTTGCTTCAAGAGATAGCTCGCGAACTAGGAATACCGCTACGTCGTATCGATTGCAATTCCAGCTTCATCCAAAATGGAGGAGACTCCCTTTTGGCGATCAAGATCGCATCATCATGTCAGTCACAAGATATGGTTATTACAGTTGCTATGATCATGGGCCATAGTTCAATCAATGACCTTCTCCGCGATTCGTGTCGTCAGGCTCAAACTGGCCCTTCCTACTGGGGGGTCAACAACGCCAGCCAACAAAGTCTACACCCGATCGACCACAGTCTTCCGCCAACAGCATCAATTATCAAAAGAGACTTAACGGATACTTACCACCATCAGCCGACGGA